TCATGCTGTTGCTAAAGGTCACCTGGCTGCGTCGCCGTCAAGGATTCATAACTCGGTTTTTCCTGGATGAGTTGGTTTGTTATGCAGTTGCAGGAAATGCAAATAACTGGTCAAGCCTCGAAAGTAATTAACGTAGCAGTTAATGCCACTATATCGCTTTCTATTTCAGTGAAAATCTTTTTAATTTACTCCTTTGCGTTTCACGTAATTAAGTGAACTTTCGGTTACTAAGCTTAAGTCTTCCGAGAGTTTGATATTATTACGTCTCCCGTTCTCCTGCACACGACACATGTCACCTTACAATGCGTGTGGAAAAGCAGTGAAACTCTAGGCTTAATTCACGAATAAGCTTCACCAATAAGAGAAATATGCCCAATCCACATTCCTAATGCCTCACTTGCTTGATAGGTTACACTTACCCATGCAAACCTTGCGTTTTTGTGGTCTACTAATCTCTAGGCAACGACTGAATAAGGTGTAAAGAATTACTCTAGATGTTGTTTGTAATCATAAAGAAGGCCGTTTTTATAAAGGATAAACAAACTGTTTGACGAATGATTATCAGCAAGGCAGGAGGACAGGCCTTCAATCAAGTGAATACAAATGCACCGGTAATTGAAGATTTAAAACAATAAACCTTGCATTGCCTTCCAAAAATCAATGCTGCAATGCGTTAAAATAGAAATTTTTTGTTTTGTCCCAACAGAGCAGAAGATGATATAGCTGCTGTATTAGGACGTCGGAATTTTTCATCAAATAAGCCAGCGTCTGCTAAGATATACACATGGTTGTTGGATTTATCATATGGGTAAAAAGTGCTTTTGAAACATTTCCTAAAAGATTTTGCAGCTTTTTTTATTAGTCCTGGCCGGATAAAGGTTTCTTTATCATGCCTACCAAGTCTATGTGGTTAGAATGATGGAAGATAAGGTAGAGGTCACAAATGGTACGGTAATCCTTGTACCATGACCAAACGTTGTCAAAGGAACACAGGAACCGCGCAGTCGAATAATAAATGCTGTTGTTTTCAACGGGCACTTCGCACTCCGTTTGCGTCAACCTGTTCAGCTATTTTCCGTATCGTATCGAATGCATTCTTGATAATCTTTGTCTCCATTCTGAACTCCTTATTTGACAGAGCTGGCGCTATAAATGGGCACTGGTTATATTTAATGTAGTCTGTTTGAGCCCTTCTCGAACTAACAGCCTACATCATCCTTACATATTTCTACCACGTTTCTCTATTAGTGCTTACTTCAAGGTATATAAAAGCGTCCAAATATTCGTAACCTCTTTTCTTGTCTAGGTCAGTTTGACGCGTAGCTGCCAATAGTGAACTAAATGAGGTTGTTTGTGTTGACTGTCACAAGTTGCCTGTCCGCAGACTGTAAAACTGCGCTGAACCAAACAAGGTGATATCTTGAAACTTCTTGCGTAATTTATGGGATTCAACAGGTGTCATTATTTACTCGGGACTTTGTACTGTACTACTCTATGTCGCAGCTTAATTTGGGCACATCCACTTCGTATCGGTTGATCGATGTTGTAAAATGCTTTCGTACCAATAGCAAGACTAGACCAAAAGGGGATAACATATGACTGCTGGTAATCGAGATATTAAATAAGTTTGCTGTGTGCTGATGCGAGTTAGTAGTTTGGCACACCCCTTGAATTCTATAATTCCGTGATTAGACTAATGGTTTTCTACGGTAACAGCAGCTACTTATTAGTTGCTAGGTTTTTCCGTGGTGTTGAGATATGTTGAAGCAATACAAATTAAGCCATCTGTTATCCGAGAAAACAAAGAACCATTTCCATCACCCGGAACTTTGCATGTTTACGCTAAAAATGCACGTTCTAAAGAGTAATCTATGTAGGAGTCTAGCACAGCTTTTCAATACCCCTCCATATACACTTCTGAACTACGTTACTGTCTAGACGAATTTGAAAGCTACGCGCGTTAAACGGTATAGCACTCAAACTTCCATTAATCCGTGCATGCGTAACCTCCCGGTACATTTACAACAGTTTCGCAGCACCAGTGATTGTAGGTTTTGTCTAACATGCGCCCATTTTTTCCATTTTTCATGTACACTTTCCGTTTTCTGCTAAATCCTTCAATAAAAAGCCTTATGAATAATTAAATAGACGTTTTAGTCCTGGACGATGCGAAGCACAGTCCAGTTGAATGGTCTGATCAAGTTGCACATTGAGCTCGCACCCAATTATTAATTGTTCATGTTTTTTTTACAAAGGATCCCAAATGGGTTTTTGTAGTGATTGACAGTTTCATGTACTAGAGCGCTTAAGAAACTGAGAACAAGAAAAATCGCGGGTTTAACCAGAAGTACAAGTAAATGTAATCGGCTATCCATGGAAGCGACCCTGGGGGACCTACTTCCATGCTGGACAATCCCTCGAAGGGTTTCACCCGCACTTCTATGCGCCAACTGGCTGTCTGCCGGTGTGGCAAAATAGCCAGTAAGCTATCACCAGTTTAACAAATTTTTTATATTAGAGCTGCTTTTATGCATACATTATGGGCGATGAAGTCTCAGCCCGATACGTCATACGGACCACTTAAATATGACACATTTGTTGTATGCCTTAGAGCAAGTGGGAGTATACTTTGCCTGGGGAGAGACTTTTAGCTTGGAAGCTGTAATCTGTCACCTCAAGAGATCAGCCCAGGTGTGGCCAACAGTAAACTAAGGATGAATATAAAATATGGGGAATTAAGACGCCAATAATTTTTACCTGCTTTCGCCGTTAGGCCAAGTAAAGTTAAAATAATGACGTACAGCGACGACCATACAGAGATTTCAGCTTGAGAGGGTAGCCCCACCTCGGAACCAGTGCACCAAATGTGAAGAAAACGGTATTGGTTACACGGGAGTTCAGGAGTGAGAGGGATAACCTGTTTGTAAACACACTAAGGAATTCATCCAGATGTCAATGAAATAATAGTATGGAGAAAACTAGACGATATTGCAGCTTTCAAGCGTATTCAGGACCATTATCATACTAAGCACATAGAGTCCTCTAAAGGCTACGTGTTAGCGTGATGTTAGAAGTAGTAGGATGAACATTGATTATCCGTTTGAACTGCAGCTACATAGAGCAGTTGCTGAAATTCGATGGATTTTATTCCATGTTAACGCATCTTTTATTGAGAAATATGTTGAGCTGAGTTTGGTATGAGACTTTGAATCCGTCATATGCGCTCGCCGTTTCTTATTTCATAGCATTTACAAGTCTGAACTTCGAGTTGTGGCTTTGATGTAAAGCTTAATCCGAATGATAAACGGTAGAGAAAGCAAAGATTAGTTTTGTGTCCGCGTAGCCGTAGCGGATGCAGCTTTAGAGTCTCGCAAAGCACACGGTAACTCATAATGCTAGGCATGTACAAAAATCTGCCAACGCTCGTCGGATATTTTCTAGTACTACCACATCCACTTTTTTAAGATTTGTTTGCACTTCGTACATTAGTTAAGCTCTGAACTAACCCACAGTTAACCGCTTGAAGCTTGGAGCCCCTCGAAATAAGATTTCGGCTCATATAGGCGATCACTTTTCTGACAGGCTCCTGCAAGAATTTAACTCGATCTAAAACAAGTAAGTGAGGTAGAATATGTTAGACCAAGATGATTTGTGTTCTAGTGAAGATAGTAGGCCCTTCCTGAGAACTTTGTCTGAACTACTGGGTTAAACGTATTGTAAAATGGTGCCATGATATAATTTGTAAAATAATACTCAGTTTCATATGCGCCTTTATCTGCAAGCCTAACATTTGAATAACTATGAATTGTGAAGTAAGAGAACTTTGCTAAGCGGTTGCATGTTTGTCAGGAAATAACAAGTTGATCTAATTTGAGATGCTTTGATATCCTGGCTGCATTCGGTTTCATTTCGACTATGTAGTGTCTTTTAGACATAGGGGCGTATCTTCAAAACTATTTAAGTCATAGTAACAAGAATAAGTAAACCAAAGCGTTTTAACATCTTCCGCGTAAATTAAGGATAAAAAGCATTTAGAAGAGTTGAAGTCACTTTAGAACGCAACTTGCCTTTCACTATAAAAGGTACATTAGTCCAGGGACGTTTCAACGGCGGGAAGCCACATTGCAATAACGTGGTCAGAGTCGGATGTCAAAGACGTTAAGATCACAAGTAAATGTAGGTGTAAAAGAGCGGTAGCTTGATTTTAGCAATATTTTACAACGATGAATAGTTACATTTTATAAAGCTGCGGATTCTGCATAGATTGGGTTGTCAGCTATACGATGTCACACACCACACGCACTTGAAAGGGAGCTACATGCAGCTTCTTAATTTATTAGCTAAGTCCCCTGGACAATAAGTACAATTTGCAGTTCATACATGAGTACTTACTCAACCAGTGGATTAAAGCCAGTTATTCCGTTTTGTTATACGGGAAAGCTTGAAAACCAGTCATATCCACTGAAGTCGCGAATTGTACTCTTGATAACGACCAAATATGTGAGTAGAATTCACCACATCTGATGTGCCGTTAGTCCTGAATAATTACAGAATGATTAGAAAATTTAGCAGGGTTACTTATGCGGGGGAATATACCGGTTGGATTAAACTGGATAAATTAAATTTAATATAGCCCGCCTCAAACGGACGGCCGCTCTGTCATTTCGTTAGTCAGCAAAGCCTAATGCTGGATCACTTCAAACAGCCAGAATTGCAACTAAAGAAAAACATATGCTAAAGTTGCAATGATATCTAGAAAGCAATGTGTTGAATTGTTGCTTTCCAATTATCCGTTTCAAAATGAAAATTTTCTGACTGAGCTTCCAGTCTACAACAGCACTGAATGCAGTGAGCAATTTTACCGTGCCAAACGACAAACGAAGGCGGTCCATTCACTTTATTTGTTGTCGAGTTTGATGATGACACATTCCGTTTCGTTTTTGTGTATGTATAAACAGTGCACACGGATTGCATAAACACGAATTGGTGTATGGAGCATTGGGTGAATTACGGTGACAAAGACATCATATTAGCTTCATGTCGGCCGCCACCTTGATCAGGCACTGCTAATCATTAGATTTTTCGTCAGCCAGTGTTCACACCATTTAATTGGACCACGATATGCCTAGGTGTGAATCTAAGGCCGTTGTATAAGAGTGGAGTAAGTCCAAAGGAAAAGTACTCCTGGGGGCATTCACAGGCTTTAGTAGAAGGATGCAGAATTTAGATGAATATCGGCTATCGGAAAAAACTGGGGCTATGCTGGAATCTCCTCTGGTAAGGAAAATATTAACTAGCGACTTTACTACTATCGACCGTTAAATCTCTATTGAATTGAGGCATCTCATTTTATCTGTTATTTTAGCTGAACCTTCCAAATACTCACGAGGCATGGAACGCATTGGTGCAGCGACTGCCTGAAATGTTCAGCAAGAAAACTGTTCGTGATGAAGTTCGAAAGGTACGAATAGCTTTAAAACTCAATTTACTATGCATCAGCCTCAGTACCGAAATACGACATCTATACGTAGACTAGATCATTACTAGGTAGAAAGTAAGAAATCAGCATTTCTGAATGTGCGCTTTACGCGGAATGCTGATATAGTGGATTAGACAGGTTTATGTATAGACAGCCAGTGACATGCCTCGTCCTACTTAGCACTCACTATAAAATGTCTGTTTAAGTAACATTTTCATTCGTGTCAGTTAAGATTACGCAACTTTTGTTGTAGTTAGTAAACACTAGCCTTTAGTGTAGACTTACCTACCGTGCACCAACTAACATTTTCTCTACTTGTGCACAATCCCAGCTTATTCACGAAACGAATAGAAGAAATTTGTTTGAAATTTGTAAGGCATAGCAGGTGCGGAATATCAGTTTACTCATATTTCCAGTAAAAATGTTTGTCATCAACAACATAAACCCACTTAATATTTACTTTGCTATCCAGTCACGTACGTATTTCTGATGTCTATCCAAGGTTTTATCAGCGGTATTGCTACCAATCTTTTCGTAGCTGCAGCGGAAATAGCTTTGCTTTTCCAGTGTAGTACCTAGTTGCACAAAGAGGATAGCGATATTTACCTATCGATGCATTAACATCCCGCTTAATTTTTTGAAAACGTCTAGCAGTTTTCGTCTGCAGGGGCACTGATTGCCTCGTTAAAATGTGTGGGGATATAGAACAACGTGCCTAGGTGAAAATGTGAAGCAAGCACGCAGATTAGGGTCATACGGTAGACTGGGATTTAAGGAACAAGAGGCTAGATAAGCAAGCAAAACTCTCTTTTAGAGACTTTTCTTTGACTTATCCTGAAGCGAAAAGAATGTTTTACAACTAGCTACACAGTTGTAAAAGCAAAATTTCTGGATGAATAATAGAAAAGTAATTTCAGAAGTGTTAACTAAATCATAATAAAATTAAGATTCTTAATTAACTTTTTCTTGGAATTAAGCAATACCGTTCCTAATTTGGCCTCATGTCTAACAACACCTCTGTGAGTTATTACCAAACACATTTTTGTATTGGTAGCTAATTTGAGTGGCGGCTTCATTTTTAGCTTATTTATATTCGCTGCTAATACACGGTGTAAAACAAATTTATGAGTAACATTAATGTGTGAATAATGAACATTTATCCCTGAATATTCATGTTTAACCGGGGATGTTATTCAGTAAGTTACTGACTACTTGGATTAGTTCTTATTCGCGAGTTAGTTGAACTGCGGTTATTTCTGAAGTACTTTTGTTTAACTAGGGTGGGCAGTTTTGCTTCGGATCAATGGCATGTCAGGCGAACCATTAACTTGTAACTTCTGACTTGGAGCTGCTATCATCCGTGATTCAATGGCGGTAGCTGCGGTCTGGGGTCACAAGCCACTGTGGTTGATAGTTCATGGGCTCGGTACCTGATGGGACTGGTTGCCGCTCACTATTGACAAGTCCCAATGGAACGCAATGGCCGTTTGCTGTTTTTCCGAATTGGTGGTGGGATAGGTAGGTTGAAACCTACTGTAATGATCTCAATAAAACCTGATAGGTATTTCCCAGTGGGAGTACATATCCTTTACTTGGCAACTTGTGTCGCAGTCGAAATACCAACTAATTAATCCAACAATGTAAATTCCCCAGTTACATTATGTATGACTAGGAAGAACTCGATTGGTGCAAATGTGTCATAGTATATTTAGATTCGTAACGAAACTAGCACGCACGAGTAAATCGTCTGTCAGAAGTTGTCCAAAACTGTGTGTTTAAATCACAAGCACCGGAATACAGTCAACTTGAATAATATGGCTAGATCAAGGTAGCTGCTAGGGAGGATCTTCTGTCAATGCGTCAGCTATATTCACTGAGTCAAAATGAACAGACTCGCACTAGGTAGTAGATTGCCAGTACAATTAGATGCTGTAACATCATCATCCAACGCAGCAGAGAAACCTTGTATTTCACCATGATAGACGAATTTTGGCAGTCTGCTTTAGGCAAATATCGGATAGCAGCATTGCTAATAGGGTTAATTTTGTTTGTCTGGGTGTAATACCATACAACATCATTGCTTACCCGACGCCAGTATAGTCAAGTCAAGGGTGCGCTATTATGCACCAATGTCTGGTAGCATAAAGCACAGTCCAATGTGGGATACATACACAAAAAACGATTGCGGTCTGAATTTAGTGAAATTCACGAACCAGATTTTGCGGTTCCCATAAAGCAGCTCTTACATAAATCGTCCGACGACCCACAGTTCTGCTGTCAAAACACTTTTCGCCGTTTCATGGATATCGATAAGTGAAAAATGGGTAATAATTTGTCAGCAGGACGAAATCTGATATTGGTCATAAAGAGAATGTTGAAAACGGTTTGAAAGATTTCGTCTAAAAAACCACAAGTGTAAACATCGAGCAGCTAGGATGCAATGGGAATTCAGCGCACACAAATAAAACTAACCACTATACCTCGTAACGATAAACTGGTTATTAGAATTATTTTGCGTCTGTAACGTTGATGCAAAAATGCAAAAGATATTTACAGTGTTACATAAAATTATTCATCGATAAGGCAAAAGTGGATGGAGAGTTTGCTTATAATACATGTTACTTAAAACAATTGGCACTATTCTGAGCGACAATCAGTGCATGAGAGTAGATTTCCTTATTCATAAAATGGGCTTATGGTCTATGCTTTGCGTAGGCTAAGCAACTATAATCACTATAAGCAAATTACAATTCCACAAGAGATATCAAGTCAAAAAGATTTTACATTATCTTTTAAGCGGGATAACAGTACGAAATGAGTATAAATCAAATCCGGATTAAAAGGATATCGTAAATAATGTCTCACGTTTCCTGCAATAAAATGATTTATCTAGGAAAGAATTCAGTATGTTTTATGGAACTACAAATGACACATCTTCAAGCAGTGCAAGATAAACCGACTTTCTTCTTTCTTACTGAAACAAAAGTGCCTACGACGCTCATCCATTTTGAAGCCGGTATTGTTTACATTCAATGCTGACCCAAAATACTTAGCCGCGTATAAACAAATGTACAAACACTTTATTATTGACAGTGCAAGACACACCTATATAGGCTTGGTCATAAAACTACAAACAAGATTGATAGCTAATAGTGCAAAACATTGGAACGTCCTCCGTAACGTACTGGATCTACTGTGTATGTGTTGTGAATACAAGTAGGTGTGAAATTCCGTATCGTTGTTACTTGAATTTGAAAAGTGACGCTGTGTCTGGTATTGTGTTCAGTAAGTTCTGCGACGTGAGACGGGTCCGAAGGAAATGTTCGGTTTGAAGAACTGATTTCTATGGAGTGAATTAGGGGATTCAAATAAGCAAAGTACAGTGACTTTACTTAATAGTAATGAGCTAATTCTTTTGAAACCACTTCAAACTCCTTCCTGCGAACGAAACTATTCATAATTCTAACGAGTTGCCTGTAATTATCGTCATTTGGTATTCACTGAAAACTAGTCGTTTCCTAGCAATAACCTTAGAACGACACGTACCTCAGCAAGCAATGTGAGCTAGTTCAGCATTACCTAGCGGGCATGGGGTCGTTTCCAGCTAACACTGCGATTGCTTGATGATATTTTTGGTTTACCTTACATCATGGATGGCTTGCTCGAAACGGTTTGTGCAGCATATGACCAGTTGGTTTTCATTTCATGATAAGAGGAGCGCGGCTGTAATGTTCACAGAGTTCTGCAAGGTATTAGTGGAAAATGCAAATGGAAGATAAGATGAGCGAAATGCGCAAGGGTTTTAGTGCTTCATCGTCACATGTTGTGTCTGGAAGCTTTGAACTGGATCCAGAGAAATTTGGGCCATATACAGGATGAATCTATTCAATAATGTATAATCTGATAGAAGACTAAATGAATGCCTAACTACGTCAGCCGTTTCTTGTCTGACTTTAATGATGTAGTAACAGTAATTTCAAATCTGACCCACAAGGTTGAAAGTTTGCCCTAAAATGCAAAACAATGCCGCACCTTACAGGGAATCAAGCAATTGACAGCGGATGCGTCCATCATCACTTATTGTGATCAATTTCTTGCAACCGCTATCCTGTGTTAATGTATTTAGTACTGCACCGGAGCGATGTTCAAGTAGGGCGAGAAACCTACTGACTTCCGCAGCCGGACTCTGATGTGATACGAGAGTCATTGCAAGAGAATTGAAAGACAAACTTTGATCCTACTTTACACTGTAGGGCGCCAAAGTACCTAAATTTTCGCCGCAGAACTACCCTCTTCACTAACCGTAACTCCTCGGTGTCATCTTTAGTAAACCATAGTACATTGCAACAGGTCTTTTGCAGCAGGAACACATATGCGTTTAGAGTTTCTACCTGCATGGACCCAAAAGAAACATTGCTGACATACTATCAAGTAAAGTCCTGATTTAACCGGAATACGTGAAAATGCGTGTTTTTACTGGCATCGCCAATGAGTACTGTCAGCGAAGAACATCTGCAGCGGATACTGTGTTGCACAAAAATTGGTGCGCTGTGCAAACTGCTGGAAGAAATAGCATTAAACAGATTGCTATAAGAGGAAAATGTTGCTCATAGAGCTGGCATCCATTTTTAGTTTCTCCGTGAACTCATCTCACCAGAAGGATTGATCGATTGTCCCAAGATAAAAGCACGCTATCTTATTAGAGCTCATCCACTGCGCGCCTGGGTATCAACAAGCTTGCGGCAAATGTGTACGAGCTGACGTTTGGACCAATAGAGGCCGGTCAACAACGAGCTTCTATCCCAAACTACTTGTAATACAGACTACAAGACGTGGGCAAGCCGAAATTGCCGATCATGCTTGATGTTGCTCCAGAAAAACATTGTCCAAAAGTCTGCAGTGAACATATTTACTCTGTGAGTATTTGCATTTCGCGACTCATTTGTTTATGGTCGACAACTTGGGTGACTACTTCGAGATTGATACTCCTACTGCAATGACTTTACAAGACCTCGTAAACAAATCACGTTGCCAAGTTGCTGGTCGCGATACCAGAGGAGGTTATCTCTAAAAATGAATGAATTTTTTTAAATTACACGTCAGCTTGAGGTGGGAAAGACCTCAGCTACTGTGACGAAATACATAAATGAAAAAGGAAAATAAATACAAAAGTTGCATGCCAGCTGAGCTACCAGCAACGGACAGGCATCGTCGCAGTAAGCTCCCAGCCGACTACTAGGCAAAAAGAAAAAAATTATTGTATTTTACGCTAAGAAATGAGATTATAGGTGGAGAAGGAAGCTAAAAGGGATGGGGAGGGACAAAGAAACTCAAAGCACAAACGCCACTGAGGTCGGCTCCTTGCCATATCAGCAAGTGTATCCAGCCAAACGTGTTCACCGTCATTTAGACCCCAACCAGGTAGCCGTGACGCTCCAACCGAGGCCAGCACAGAAGTGAGGGCCTTCACTCCTCTTGACCAAGTCATCGCTTGGCCACCCCTCCTCTTCTTCCATCCACATCCTCGGTGAACAAACAACACACAAAAATGAATGATGCGATGTTATATATCTGTTGCTCCCTTGAGGCATTATCGTACACAAGCCATAGTAACGTCGTTTTATACGGCGCATTTGCAACCTATTCCAGCCGTTCAACATAATATCCAGGTGGAATACGCTACCTAAATTTATAAATGAGAAATTGAAGGTTCAGAAATTTCTGTAATTCCGACATTAATTTTGCTTCGTGCATTATCTCTGGTAAAATGTTTCAATACTGCGCCATTGGACACTCGAAACACAAAGCGTGTGATATCTCGTAAAGATCCAATGATAAAAAATGCTCTTATTCGTTCAGTAGTTAAGAGGAGTTCCTGAATTTAATTTATAGTTTTAATCATAAACAGACAAACGCAAAGTTTAAATCGTCATCAAAAGATGCAAAACTTACTTAGAGAAACGAAGGTGAAGCTTGTCGATCACCACTAAATCATGTTTTAAGGCCAAAAAACAACCACATTTACTATTGGGACAGGTCCAGCTCAATGTTCGTTCAGTAGCAAGTGAAGAATTCTATTGTCAACAGGCAAGTTTCTACGATTTCCGAGGTTTATGGACAATCGGTTAATTAATTTATTTGGCAACTTTTCGCTTTTGACACAAAAGCTTCGTTAGTAATGACGATTGGTGCCAAATATACTCAAAAATTTTGAAGACGTTTTTAATGCAGCCGTTGGTAACCATGCGTGTTGCACAACAAAATCGCCTGAGAAACAGATTGGTTGGAATACAACTTACGACCGCGGGTTGAGATGCATTTTTGCCAGTTGGAAGGGAGGAAATGCGGATACAACCATTATGGAATCCGCTGCACTTTGGATCAGTGTGACGATTAAAGGTTTTTTGAAGGGGGCCATGACGTAAGAGTTTAGAATAACAGCGTCAGGAGGTAAGTAAATAGATAAATAAATTCGTATATTCACCGACAAGCGTCGTATGGTCCCATAAGTGGGAGCCATCTTTTTGTGTTAGCTTCAGCATCAATCGCACTAAGTGGACTATCGACTAGGCAACTCAGTCCAAGACGTTAATCCACATGTAGTAGAAAATATCTGGAGCACCTAACAAAGGTGATCTAACAAACTGGAAACTTAGAAAGGTGTGGTCGTAACCGGTAGTTCAATTTAACGACGTGGATCTTCTAGACTGATAGGTGATGAGGCGCCGTGCACGCAAGCCAACTGAACTCGCATGAGCAAGAAAGGCTCAACAAAATGCACTCGGCGTGGCTCTAGTGAATAACAGCTTATTTAAAGCCGAAAGTAAACTCGATTGACCACGACCAGAATGCTCAAACAGCACATGCATTTCGGCAGATCAGGTCTGAATGAAGTGCATGCAGTGGTGACTTTCAAACTGCGTGTACGCAGAGAAATTAAATCAAATATAGCAAACGCGAACTGGCCAGGATTGCAAAAGCCTGCTCGATGACAGTGGTATGATGCTGCGTAACATGAAGTAAGCTCAAAAGTGTCCCTGAGAAGGCTGGCATTGTCTCATCAATCACAGTGGACAGCGATATATATGGGCCAATAATCAGGGCAGATGACATGACCGGATAAAACAAAAACTAGCTAAGGGAAGGCTGCTACCCTATAATAACAACTCGAAAATATGTACGGTATAAATGATAATGTAGTTCAATAAATGACACCTTTATTTTTTACTTATAACATTTTGATTTTCATGGTGTTACACGTGAGGGTCATTTCGCCGATATGTCAATCCAACTTAATAAGTTGTAGATTATAAACTTTTAGGTAGATATGGAAAATGGTTGCATAAGACCTGACTAGTAATGGATTCCATGCTCATGGGCAGCTGTCAGTCCTGTTGAGAGCGAATCTTGCTGTGACCCTTCCATCTTTTTCCTGGCTTTTAGGTAAACTTGTATTGCACTGTTACTAAATTTTCTACTTTAAGGCAAAATACACATTATATGGGCGATTTAGTTCATGTAACCTTTGCTGTCCTAGGAAGCAAGTACAATGTTCACACTGAATTATACAGAGTTGGGAATGTAGAACCCTTTAAAATTGAAATGACATGTCTGACAGACATTCTATAATCACGGAACAGAGGGTACAAAAACCCAGGTTGATAAAAATTAGTGTAGCGCAAATTTAAATCATTTAGGATCCATTTCTTCCCAGGTTCTATGTAGAAAGCGATTTTACTGAAATATTTGTATGTGACGTAAAATAATGATGGTAAAAGCAAAAGTACAAACACATTAAACTCGATCGTTTGTATGAAGCAGACTTTTAGGAGCAATATTTTTAATCTACGAAGAGTTAAATTTAAACATGTCTTAATTAATTGTTCCTTTAAAATTGTTTTTAAAACTTTTCAGCTACCAGTACTCTCACTGGATGGCCTAAGTAGCCATGAGGAATTTCGTTTTGTCCACAAGATATTGACGTTCGCTGGTTGTGCTTATTTATGGCAAAATGGTCCTGGAAACGAGCCCGACGTAAGTTGTGACATTCTGAAGTCCTACATAACTGTGCATTTTTCGTCGTGCACTATATTAATGCCAATCCATCGCGAGGGTTCAAGGTCTCAAGTGATCCATTAATTTAAAGAAATTTGATTAAACTACCAATTACGACATATCCGTTGGACATAATAATGGTGCATGAAACATTGGAAGTGGACGGTCATGCACATATTCACAGTTTTTCGGTGGGATTGTTAATGTATACCTACATTGAACTTATCCTGGACTCAACTGTCCACTGTGCTTTCTTCTTGAAGCTTATGCATAGGCACATCTGTCAGCGGCATTGCTCAGGCAACTATATAGGCAGGTCATAACTTGACCTACAACACGTCCTCCTCATCATTCTTATACACGTTAGATAGAGGTTTAAAATACCACAGCTATTGTGCCGCAATACATAAAAGAAATTGAATAGAAATACAGCAGTTGTATGCTAGCTGAGCTACCAGAAACGGATGGGCATCGTTCCGGAAAGCTACTAGCCGGCTACTAGGCGACAATAAAATTATTATGTAAAATCATATTACGCTACGAAATGAGATCGTGGTTGGAGGTGGAGTCCAAAAGGCATCGGAAGGGACAGAGAAACTCACAGCAGGTACGCCACTGAGATTGGCTCCTAGCCATTTCAGTAAAAGTATTTAGCCAAACGTGTTCATCGTCTTTTGGACCCCAATCAGGCAGCCGAGACGCTCCAACCGAGGCCAGTTTCGGAGTGAGGGCCTGCATTCCTCTCAACCAAGTCATCGGTTGGCTACCTCTCTTCTTCTTCCATCCATATCCCCGGTGAGCAAACAACGCGCGTCGCGGGAGTCGGTGGGCTGGCATGCGCAACACGTGGCCGAGCCCTCGGAGCCTGGTGCGTGAAATGACGGTGCTGAGCGGTTCAGTTCCTTTTCCTGTGCCGTAAACAAGGCGTCGAAGACGCCCGATGCTCACGCGGTGTTCCCATCAGATGTGAGCCAACCTGCGAAGACAACGGTGGTCGAATGCAACTAGCCTTTTTATGTCCGCTGATCTAAGGGGTCAGGTTTCACAAGCGTACAGTAGGATCGAAGTACCGCTGCATTGTACACTCTACCCTTCAGGGCGAGAATGATGTCGCACCGCCGCCATAGGTAGCGAAGACTAGCAAAAGTACTTCGAGCTTTTGATATTCAGTACGTGATCTCATCTTCAATCCTACGGACGATGATACAACTTCCAAGGTATTTGAATTTCTGAACGACTTCTAGCTGATCCCAACCAAGGGTTAGCGCAGGAAGCGCTCCCTGTCAATCTTGGAGGAAAGCTTTACACTTCGATGGTGCAAAGAAAAGCCCGAAGTGGCTGACAGCCAGTGCTAATCTGTCCAGTGCAGCTTAGCACGTCTGGAAGCTGTCACAGATGAGGGCAATGTCGTCTGCATACTCCAATTCAATAAGTCCTTCTCCTGGGAGTAGCTCCACACCTCCTAAATCGTGTCCTGTAAATGCTATCTCCATGACTTCGTCAATAGCAAAGTTGAAGAGGAAAGGTGACAGCGGACATCCTTGTCTCAAACCACTGGGGATATTGAAACGCGGCGACAGCTTGCCGTAAGTCCTTACTCTGTCCGTGCTACGCGCCTCTTATGCTCGGATAATATTTACATACAGTCGCGCTTAACGGCTAATGTTAATTTTGCATTTTGACCTCAGCCAACAAATGTAGACTGCGTAACAGTTTAATTAAGACCATATTCTAATTCTTGAGTTTATGATGCATTTCGCAACTTATATTTATCGAAATGTGTAAGATAGTACTGATCATAGCAGGATTTGGTTAAATTGTTTTGTTATTGACCTAATAATCTCAGCGTCTATATGAGCCAACATTCCAATGGATTATGTCAATGGATAGATCATTTACAATGTATATCTCTTTTATAATTGTTGTCAAGTCCACGAGGCTTTACGGGCTATGTATGCTATACATCATGGGTGTAAACACAGGTGCCTATTTCTGAACCCAGGCCGCCTTGTTGCACCTACTATCCAACTAACGCAACTACTATCCAACTACTAAGTAGAAACACATATATATTCTAAACCTGTTGAGATTTGCTGTACATAGGTAAGTTCAGCATCATATATGCGTTATCGGAATTCAGACTATCTTCGTGGAATCGTGTTTATTGGGAAGCTTTATGCTCACTGATTATCAACACGGTTGAGTTAAGGGTCCAACGAAACAAGGAGGACGCCATTCTCTTTCAGTTTTAATGTACTAAACCAAATACCGTCTAAAACACTGCTCTACCGGCCCATTAAGTACACATTTGAGCTATCTGAAGCTCAATTCTTCAGCAATGACTAGCCACTATTTTTTCTTGGTTGAAGGAAGTATTGCTTTTGGCCTCCCATTCACAGCCTGGATTATCCAGATTAAAAGAAATGACGATACTCGGACCCGTAGCTACATCTTTTTGTAACTTCTCAGTTTGCGTTCATATATCATTGTACGTGTAAATCCTCCAACTCAGTTCGATGATAAATAGGACACTGCTGGGCCCGGAGTTCATAAACAAACACTTATGAATATCTGCAAGAATGATGCGCCTATTTGTTGAAATACCTACCCTGATAGGAGGTGCCGACACATATGATCATAACTGAACAGAACTTGTCGATGGTCGTTCCGTTTCTATAGATATTATTCATTTATATTATCTCTGACAGTCTTTACCAACTCAACTGGCCGTACCACTCGTCGAGTCCTCCAGACGACTTGGTTTGGCGGCGACCATCACGCATCAAGACGTTGTGCTGGGAAATTGTCGCTACATGGGAGCTAAAAAGTGCGTTCTAAAGAAAAGTATGGTAGTGCGTGAATGATCTGCAAAATTTTATGAAAATTTTTACGAAAACAGTATAACTCTTCTTGTTCTGTTCTAATATGGTAGTATTTTTCAAACCTTGCTACAGTGACAGCAAATAAACTTTACCCACTCAGTCGACAAATTCATAAAACCACTTCTTCTACACGGTGAAGTGAGGTGGATGCTTAAAGAACTCGAAGAAAATGCATGAAATATCTAACTTTATTATTACCCAAAGCGTAACTTGTCACTGTTGTCTAGCGGGATATATGGATACAAATAATACCAGATTACTATAGCTTTACATTGCTTCCAAATTTGAAGGTGGTTCCTTTTAGATTGACAGTACTATTACTGAAAACTTTTTATCTTATCATTCCAACTAACTTGACCGCTCGCAAACGTGTATAACATTTCTACTGCCAAAACTAGTTATGATGTTAACCCCAGAATGTAGAGATGTTGAGATATGCGTCTCGCACCTATTAAACCATCGGTTCCAGGTATCTAAGAAATGAAACCGAAAAAGCAGCCGGTAGTACAGTGTTTTATTACCAGCTCTCCGTATTTGATGTTACATCTATCAGTTTGACATGTATCTTATTGATCAAAGAAAGAAATCTGTACTATGTGTCCAAGTTAAAACCGTTCAGCCATGCGTCACATCGACAACCAACAGCCATTTAATTTACAATGGCGTGCATTAATTGAAACCGGTTGAGCGGAAGCACTGTTGGCTAGTTGATGTTACACACGATTGTTAACAGTACAAATCATCCTGTTAGCAGCAAAATTCTCTATTGACATTACTATATAGGGCAATACTTTTTAAGTGCACTGTTTCGGAACTGCCTGATCTACTCAACTTTGTTTTTCAGCCTACCGGAATGCATTCATATTCCAACTAATCATGACAGTTGGAAGCCTTTCATCGAGGCAACCGGCCTCATTGAGATAGCTTTTGCCCCTGCCCCTAAGGTAAGTTTATTTTCCGCATTATCTTCATCTGACTTGATTTAAGGTTTGCGTAGATTTCAATGGTGCAGCGACATGATGCATCGTAGGCAAGAGGACGCCCAACTTGTGTAACGTAAAGAAAAGTAGCATTATAACCATACTTGGTTATGCATGAAAAATTCATACTGTTCAGGATTATATGTTTCATAGTTGAATAAATTTGGGTTACTAAATCTTGCAATAAGGAACATGGAGCTTATCAGCGTTGCTGTTTGTTCGACATTAGGACTACTTTGAGCACAAGATATATCGAAACAAGAGTAACCAACCGGCAGCTGCTGTACCTGTCAAAACCAAGAGATAGATCAGTACAAGTGCGACAGATAGATATGTTGGGCAATTAGAGTGTGGTAAAGCTTGTCTATTTGAATTTCTTCATTTGCGTAATGTGCATTTTTCAGGTAAATCGCATTGCCTCAGTGATACTGGCAAAAGTAAATATTAGATGTGCTTACTAATCAGTTGGACGGGACATCTATCGACCAGTGAGCCCCGATTCCCCCATGAAATCATGAGCACGAAGGCAATACGTTATTAATTTAGCATTCTTCTATATTTCTTGCGTTTAAGTCTCTTTTGGCTTGGAAAGCATCTTCATGTTGTGTAATCCTGTTTTAATCTGGTTTGTAACTTTGTTATCTTGTACTTCCATCACTAACCTATTCCCATCAACATAATACTCCGGGAACTGCGTATACCGGTTATGGCCCTGAGGTCGAAAAGTTTATTTAATTCGGCATTGGCAAATGTTCATGCTCATGTAGTGGAGCCAGCCAAAGAAATAAAAGACGTGATGTTTGGATGTGGAGAATCCGATTTGACTGAAAATTTATGTCTATATGGCTAATACAGATCGATTAGCCATCTAATAACCGGTGCGTTTTCGTTAACTATATTCTTCTGTTAAGGCCTAGAACACGGAATAGTTCCAGAACTAAGAGGCTTGGCGTTTTTGCTAGAGGAACTAATAACACCCAAGAATGGAGTCTGTACATTAATCTGTACCAACAATTAGTGAAGCGCTGTTTCCTAGTTGCCGATAGAGCACAGCTGCACTGCAGGCACTTAATGCTCAACTGAAAATAGATGCTCGTCCATACTTAACGATCGAACAATGCTCTAGCCAACAATGGAGAAAAATACAAGGATATCGTTGGTTCAATAATGTTCACGTTGGTACGGGGGTCCAGGAGGAGTTAATGAGGGAAACCCGGCAATGTCACAAGTATCATAAACTAAAGGACCATGTTTCGCTTTTTCATTTACTGCTGAGCTTCGTTTAAAGTCAATTCACCTACAGTTGTCACATTAAAAACTTTGTCAAATGGCTTAACTACACAAAGATTTTAGTTGAGGTCATTTAAACATCTCTTTGTTTGGTTAGTGAGGAATAACGCTTTCTTTTCTTGTGGCTGCAAACCACCAGTTAGTCTTGTAATACACGGAGTCCAATCACATATTAATGTACGGTGAAAGGTTGCAGAGGATATCGGTGCCATCGTTTATTTGTATAACGGTAGTAAGCTTAAATACAGGTATTTCCAGAGCGAAACGCACTTTAATTCATCAGTATTTAACTAACAATCGTAAGTCGGCCGTTGTAGTTTGGTGAACGATATGGCTTGTAATGCACAGTCACAATTCTCGCAAGTCCCACAAACATGAAGCGTGCCGTTGAACGCCTGTCAATGGATTTCCCAATTGTGCAGAGAAGGGCAAAGCTGGGTTGTCTAACAAGAGGGATTTGGACATCTAGGCAATGATATTGAGCCTGGTTCGAGCACAACATTGCGTAACTACATACCTGAAAAAATGTTTCCAATCCTTCTTAGACCGTAAACAGAAGTTAACGTTTTCTGGCTTCCACTAACAACTAAACCACATTGAGCACTAGAAATGCATGTTCAAACCCTTAGAAAAACTGTCTATGTGTGTGACGACTTTGCAGCTTACTGCAGTATAAATCCTTTCCTGCATATGTAAAAAAGTAGTCATTTCATAGTTGACTAAGGATGGTTACTGAAATATCCCACAGCATTAATGCTATCATATAACTTCCGGCTCGCCATCTCTAATCACGGCAAATACCTATAACTGTTGGTGTAATAAAGACTGAGAATCAGCCTGGTGGGTTGAAATACACGCCAACTTATTCATACCGGGCTGTGCTGAACCTCCACCGAGAGCACACGAATAGTTTGCAGTTTATGCTCTACGGTCCACAACCCACGTTTAAGATGGAACGCACTACAGTCAACCAAAACTACAGCAAGTTCCTGACTGATGACTTCTTATAATTTCAGCTCATGTTGACTGCAATCAGTTCACAAAATTCGCTCGACTGTGATCAAATCAGCGACTGTCTTCTTCAACTTTCTGATGTAGTACAAGAAATGACAGCGTCCCTTAAAAGTTTCTACGGTGAGTCCTCTTGCGGCCGTGCAAGCAAATGGTTTAATAATAGCACCTATGTAGGTTACCTACACGGGTGCTAGCCGATTTCTTGGACGTCCAAATACAGGGCCAGTAATCACTAACGAATAGTAAAGATTTGGGTGTAATGCTTTCCATAAACCACAATCTGCCTCCCGTTTGGTGTTTTCTCATGCGTGGTCAGTGGTAAAAGCCTTGTACCTGTCTGGCTGCTGGCGATTATCGCTCTAGCTAGGAGAGAACTAGGCTATGAAGAGACGGAATCCATATTTCATAATATAGTGCAAAAAGTTCACGTGTGGTGGCTAAAAATGCGACGCCGTAAGGATTCGCGTTTGATCGGGAAGTAAGCTGGGAAACGCTCAATGTAGTGGCGTGGTGAATTCAACCGTGGTGCCGGGTGTGCTTGGTGCTCAAGGATCAGACAAAGCAGTTTAGCATAGGCTTCAACATTCTGCGTTGAATACCGGGGAGTTTATATAAAGAAACTTATTTTTCATTTTACACAATCTCCGCAGAAAAATCGATGTGTTCTCCGAAAGGCCAATCCATTCCTCCTTATAAGAAAATCAACACATATTTATTGGGTACATTTATATCCATAAAGATGTAGTACCACTTAACACAAAATGAGATTGGTCATCTTAGAATGATTACAGTGGGGGAGTTAAGTGGTATAGGTAGAAAATCGTAACATCTAGACTCATTCAGACAGCTACCACATGCCTGGAAGGCATTGTACGCGCGGTTCATCCTTTCGGCAAACATCAGCAGTTCGCATTTCATCAGACCCTGGTAGGGCTCGAACCAGCAACTCGACTGTTGCCACTCTGTGGTTGCGACCACTGAGCAACGGAAGACAGAAACGAACATTATGAATAAGTTATTAGATTTGGAAAAGCGCCGATCAATTTCTACTGACTTGCCCGTTCCTATCGTACAGAGGACAGGGTAAGCCTCCCTACAGTGATTTCCGGTCATGTCATGGCTGTCTGAGTGTGTCCAGATGTGAGGGATTTCTACCTACATGTTAACTTGAATTCAAGCACGTACTTTGAACAAACAAGGTGTTTGGATATCTAACTGTAACGCCTAAGCTTTTAGTACCGGAGCACGATATAAAAGCAACCAGGATAGACGGATTAAAACTGGGACTGAAAGAGGGGTCATAGAGTAGATTAGCTGGTAAATTCAAGGGTAAATTTTTGGGGATCTAGCAAAGGTCGTGATAGATTAGCAATAACTAACGAATGGTATCTTTGTATTCGAAAATATATAGACTTTAATTTCTGTCTGCTTGACGAGGTCGACATACATTTCGATGATGTGCAATAAAGGGATGATTTGTGTCAGCGAGTATCGATGACGCATTCCTGTTGCAAGAACTCAAGCGCTTGGGTGGATATAAATTTGCTTGCATTCCTTTTTCTAATTCAAATGCTATCTCTTTTGGTGAAGGTTATCTGCGACCAGAAGGGTTTTATATGGATATTCGCCCTCTTCTGTGCAGGTGAGTCTGTAAACGAAAAGTTTATAACAATATTTTCGAAAATAAGGAATCCACCAAGGTACGATTTCTGCGTAGCGTTGTGCTTGGTTGTTTAGCTGTAGTTTGAAAGGGAAACAACAGTGCAGCAAGAATAAGTTATGTGTGTAATTTTCTCCTGCAGTGGTTTATTAAAAATTTTGTAGATGATATTCGGCAACAACGGTAGCTGACCTTAGTCGGGTTTCGGAGCGTCCTGTGTAGTTTCGCAAACCAGAGTAACGGAGAAATAACAGCTTGAGTCAACCAAAGGGGTTAAACTATGTGAGAAATCAAGCTTTACAAGTGACCGCGTCCTTAGCACATAATATTTCTCTTAGACATAACTAAGTTAATTAAAGTTACTTTGCTCTATTCCAAAATAATCGTTTTTTCTAGTCAGGAGAATTACTAGACTGGTTCCAGAACTCAGTGGCAAAGGATTATTTTATCTTATCAGTACTAAGGTAGTCCTCTTCTGAATGCAGAGTAAATCATATATATATATATATATACATGTTTATATCAGTACACCACTCTGGGCTATGCCAGCGGTCATATATCTCGTCTCTGATACAGCCTCATTGAGATTGGCACTTTAATTTCGGTCAGTGAATTATGCTTATAGTTAAGTCATTAGTAGGTCTAACAGACCACTATTGCGGTGGATGAGCTAAGTTACTCTCTACATCTGTACTGACCTTTGAAATTTAAACTACTGTAGATCAGTAAATCGACTCATCATGGGCCATTCTTGAAACCCTTGAATTCAATCCCGAACGAATAATGTAGACATTTCAAACGTTTTAGTTCCATATGGAGTCCCCCTTGATATATCACATCTGAGTTCCCTAGTCAGACATACCAGAACAACCTTTTGTTGCCTGTATACGTAGTAGCTTTAGGAGTCTGCTTTCTCACGAAATCGCTGCTCGGAACATTTTGAGCAGGAAAAGCATGTTTTTGCCTTACGAGATGAGGATCCTTGTAGGAAGTTATTTATTACGCATAACAATTTGGGCAGCTTTACTTGTTTTAACGCCACTATGCTCAATAGCACCTGTTAAACGTTGTCAATGCTGAATCTCTTACTCACATATATCAGTAGGTTGCAAGAAGAAATTTCAGAGATTAATACTGAAACGCAGTGCTTTAAATTTCAGAGTTATGCGAAAACGCTATCCTTGCACATACGCAGCATTGTTTAAGGAGGATAAGGAAAAGTTTGCGATTCATTTTTGGTAGCCAAGGGCATATATTATCCAAATTCTCACCAACACTGCACTTATATGTTGATCAAGTAGCTGAGCAACCTCGTCTACGCGCCTCTGACCTAGAGTGTGCTTACGCAAACTGACGCAAACAATTCGTAACCAACGCCGAACACGTACGCAGAAATTGGATCCCGTAATTAAACAAGATTTCTACGTGCCAGGACTTTCTCATTGTTTTGGCTACCTGCATTAATCGTTATATTTGCAATAGGGCTTCATGTATAGGCAACAATATAGCGAGGCTGATTTGAGCTTCTCCAGTTTGGTTGCTGCATCCTTGAGAAGCATGTGTTCACCACTGTACTTATAGCTATTGCTCTACATTACAGTCACCAGTACATTTACAATCAGAACAACATTGCTGAGCAATTCTTTTGCAGCTACAACAGAATCATGAGTTGTGTACTAAGTGTTCTAGCTCACGGTATTGATAATTTCATTATATGTGTTCCAATCAATACGATGGACGTTGCGTATAAGTTACAACCTCGTACTTGATGTCATTGGGGATTCAGTAGTCATGCTGCAGGGTACCAACTTGCGTTCGAAATTCTGTAGGTGCTTGTCGATGAGTACATGAGTGGAACGAAGCCCATCATGAATAAAATATCTATAGTATTGGTACTTCTTTCGGGCTCCTTAACCTGCTGCGTCCAGTCATTTTATAGGATACAAGGTAGTATTTCTTGACGTCGCAAAGTGCCCCTGAGTGCAAGTAATAGAAAGTTAATTTTTGATAGTTTGAAATCTCCGTACACATGTTTGGGCTTGTAGGGGGTACTAGAGAATATTGTTCATGTCAATTAGGGTTCCGCTTTCACAATATTGTAATCGAGGTCTCCGGTATGTGCATCCCAATAGAAGATCCATAACTTAGATCACAAACCCTGGTGTATCATCTGGGCCACTAGGCGCAGCTTGAGCGGCAACAACTACACTACGTCAATTACGAAGGTATATGGTACATTCACCTCTACCTTTGTGTGAACCATCTGTGGAATATGTGATAACCTAAGGTGTTAAGCAGTGAGACACAAATATCCGATGTGCACTTCGTATCGGTAATTGAAGCAGTAGAAGGGGATTTCTTAAATATGCACCCTGAAATTAAATCGAACATTGCTGCTTTCACCAAAGGAGATGAAGGGTCACATAAACAGAACCAGAACACTGAGGTTTTTCCAAAATCTCTAGTTATTCTAGATGGCAACTGCAATTGTGATAAGCAGGATGTCGGGTATTTTAACTAAAGTGCTCAAATATTTGGTAAACATGAGAAGTAAAGTCTTGGAAGCAGAAATGGTCAGAAGCGGTCTTCAGATATCCACATCAAACTTCGCCTTTAGGACGAAAAAGAAAACTAAGCGCCACCAACTGCACACCAATGTAGGGTCTCTTCAGTTCCCCTAACCGACCATAGTTTTCTAAGTAACTAGGCATGGCGCCTCCCTCCTCCACACTCCTTCAGAAGCACAGAGCATTTTAAGCTGGTTCATCTGGAAAATAACAGCGCATGCTTTGGAAATGGTGGACACAAGACGCAGCAGCTGTTTTAATGTAGGCAGTCTTCTTTGCAATTAGTGTTGATATTTTTGTTGATGAGCTCTTTTGCCCTTCGCTATGTTGATTACTAGGACCTGTTTCCTATATCTTGTCACCTCACTTACGTAGGTTACAACTTGTCGCTGCGTGTATTCTTCGTTTCTGCAATGATTTCCCTTATTATGGGTGTTTGTCTTAGCTATCATGCAAGTCAAGTTTTATTAGGGATGCTCCATCACGGTCCACACGCATTCAGCTGGCTTTGAGTAGCCTTGAAAAGTACCAGACACCGCGCTTTCGACTTTTTGGGTCTCGTCAGTGGTGCATCTTAAAAAGGACCACTGACGGGTGCCGGGATCATGACTTCCGGATGCCAGAAGCTAATGCTCATTCGCCAAGGGTGATAGTCGCGGAACTGCATGGTAGGGAGTTAACTAGTGATACAGCCCGGGGTCGCCTTCATTTGTCATGCCAGTTACGAATTATGCAGAGGCTATCGGCTAGCCCTACAAACTAGGATGTTCCGCATAGCACCTTGGTAGGACGCAAAAACTTAGAAGCTGAATGGACAGAATTTATATTACTAATGAGTACTGCGGATTTGGTATGATTAGATAGATTTCATCACGGTCACTCACAGTCAGCAGGCCATGGCTAGTTTAGAAAAGCACCAGACACCGGCTGTTCGATCTTCTGAGTCTCGTCAGTTGTGCGCCTTCAAGCGGACCTCTGCCGGGTTCGGCCCCATGACTTCCGGGTGCCAGCAGCTATTGTCAGATATTTGATTGGTATGTGTACGTGTACCTTGGTACAGTTGCATTTTACCACTACATGAATTCAACTGTCCAACAGGATTGCTTAGTATGTTCTTGACCACACATGTGTGGACACCGACCATGCACTTGCATGTGCTGACCTGCGTATACGTTTCGACAGACGCTCACGACAACGCTGTGAGCGCTTTGAAACCAGCAGACCGACGAAGCCAGCTGTACTGAATGCCTATCAAACTGCGCTGACATGCGAGTTGTGTAAGCGCCATCTGCTTACAATTAAAGTTCATTCGTCTCATGTTCACCAGACCTTACTAGCAGCAGACGAAGCCTCATGTGGTAGGTCTACTCGCCAACATGTAAGTTGGGTTCCTTGGCAGTCACTGGAAGTTATCCATGTTCGCCGGCACATTCCAGATGGAAGCAAACACAGCAAGACTCGCAGAAACCTCCGGGAAAAAGTCCGTGCTAGCCTGAATTGAGACCCCTAATCTTGGTTCTCTTTTGTACATCAGAGCTGAACGTGGCCGTTGCCCTTGGTAACCATCGGAAGTCTTTCGTCTTATACGGGGAAGGGGGAAGCAGGAGACATGGTGTTAGCGAAAGTTTACGTGGACAGCCTTTCCACAACTAGCCAAAACGCTTGGAGCGTTGGGCAGAGAACTTTGAAAGGGAATTTAAGCTGTCCGATTTGCCATATTTCTCGCCGACCACTGATCGTCTTGCTCTCCGGGCTGTCCCTTTGCATCCACCCTCTCGCTCAAAAGTCAAACTTGAAATCGGACTGCTTAAGTTAGCTAAAGCCGCAGTATCTGATGATCTTCCTCCAGCCCTCTTCAAATTCGGTTGCATTGCTCCTGTTCTTGATTTACACGAGGTACTAAGGAAACCGAGAGGGCGGGAAACGGTCCCAACTGACTGCAGCTGCTCCGTTATTGTCGCGCTCTTCGAAGCAGTCTCGCGTTTTGAATGCGGCAACCATAGAGGAATCAGTCGGCGCCTCATCGCCTTCAAATTGCTTGCTTCTGGCAGCATTCACAGCCTGACTTTCACTCGTGAATGTCAGATACATAAAGAGCAAGCCGGGTTTCGTTGTGGTCGTGACTGCATGAACCACATCTTCATCTTGCGCCAGCTCTTTGAGCATCGACACATATATTGGCAACTCACAGCTTTCGGGTTCTTCGATAGTAAATCTGCATTGCATTCGGTGGCAAGATATGCACTTTGAGACTGCCTACTCAGGAAAAGTGTGCAAGAGAAATATATAAATATTATCCGATCACTAGACGCGCGTACCTCGAGCAAAGTGTGGACTTACGGCAAGCTGTCATCGCTGTTTAATATCTCCAGTTGTGTGAGGCAAGGATTCACGCTGTCACCTTTCCTTTTCAAC